ATTTATCTATGTATAACGATTTCTTGGAGATATATTCTGGTGATTTGTAGACCGCCTTTTCGCACGGACGCGGTTCGGTCCGGGAGCGCTTGCCAGGTCCTTCTTGTCGCCGCGTTTATTCATGATCTCTGTTTCTGTGTGTGTGTGCGCGCGCATATATACACCCATATGCAAATATGCATAAATACCATATATATATAAATATATATATATAATATATATATATATATATATATATATATATATATATATATATATATATATATATATATATATATATATATATATATATATATATATATATATACACCTTCTCACCCCTTCTCACACCCACCAAAAATGAATAAGTATATGAATAAAGAATTAATAAATGAATGAAAGATATGATAAAATACTTAGAACAGCAAATCAGGTGCATCCTACCCAAGGGAATGCCACGCTAGAAAATAAACGGAAGACTTTTCCTGCAAAACGAAGACGAATTGAAAAAAAAAAGGCAGAAATTACAAATAATTCGTTGAGCAACAGTTTCTTGTCCGGAAAGCGAGCGGCATCCGCGAAGGGAAACTCCAGGAGGAAATGGCTCCCCGCGAGACGTCCGCCAGCGGGAGAGCGGGACGGAATCGCGCGCCGGTTCCGCGCCGGGCGATGACAAGGCCGCTCTCATAGGTACTCGATTTGAATGTTTTCTAGCTTTGGCTGCTTAGTGAACAGGAGTAGGTTCAGTTTGGGGAGTGCATGCCAATGAGCATGTACATGCTAGTAATGTGAACGAACTGACGTGTTCGTGGACACCACCTCACTTGAGACCCTTCCTCCCAGGCCTAGATATTGCACTGGAAAAAGAAAACGGATCTTTCCGTTCAAAATACAAATTTTGTTTACCTTGAACGCCTCCGAGGGCCGCCATTTTCGTACAGACATGCTGCGCGCTCGCCCTTTGCAGCTTCACCGCACATCAGCTGGTGCCAAGAGACGGGATGGAGTCCCGTTTGGCATACTTACTAAGGCATAGGATTTCGAAAGAGACTCACACAGTGGTTTGCTATATACATTGTACAGTTTCAGAGGGCTCCCAGGCAGGTGAATCTCAACAGCAAGAGATTCAGCGCCATCTCCACAGTGCGGCGGTTGGCTATTAAGGAGCACGGGATTGCTTCTTTGGCCAGGGTCGCCAGGCCTCCGGCACCATCCAGGTTTGGAGCGGTGAGGACATGATAGCCTGAGAAGCGAACAGTACCCATGGTTAATGTCTCCTGGAGCTTGACGACGTCATTGTTCCTTGCTCGCGCTATTGATTGGAGAAAGGAATATTTTTGTATTATAGCTACAGATGTTCCACTATAGTATGCTTAGATTGTGTGCCATGATGGTTACTCAGTGCCATTGGCATCGTACTCGTCTCCAGCCTCAGAAGCCCCAGTGCTGGTGGCATCTGACATGTATAGATCCTCGTTAATTGAGGATCGTACGTCTTCACGTGGTGTGTCACTCTGGTTGTGGATCTACCGGAGATGGAGAGCCTGGGTTAGAGGTGGCACTTCGAGTTAAGAGACCGGACGTTGGCTGAGCAGACTCGGCCTGAGGGCATCCGCGTTGAGAGTCGCAGGACACCACCCCAGAGCCCCGAGACATTAAGTGTTCTGGGCAAGGAGTATTCCTACCAACTCTGTCTGAGTAGTGCTGGCCTGATTTTGTACTCTCATATTGATGTTTCATAAAGCCATTTTTCTATACAGCGCAAAGTATTCCAGCTTTGTATCCAGACTGTACGGAACCGTCAGCGTAACACTCGTACACATCGCCTAAAGATTGTGTGCTCCTTTAACGTTGCTAAAAACAATTTGTTTCAACGCGCAGGTACACTTATTATGCTTTGTAATATTTATTTTGATTTTGTGTATCAGAGCGCGCACGAGTGTATGAGCGCTCGTCTGCTTGCGTGATTTTATGGTGCAACTGTTTTTGGAAATGTGAGATACAAGGTCTCCTTCAGAGCTCTGACCCCAAATAGAGGGCATTCAGTGAAAAATGGACGTTAGGTTCAGTTCTGATCTCATGCTCATTCCTGGCGCCGAGGATAACCTTTAGCTTCAATTATTTTCACCTGCGACCCAAACTGACGCAGGTAAAAATAATTGTCTGTTTTTGATGAGGGTTCCAAGCCATATGTTGTGTGTTTTGAAGGAAGTGCGAGCGTAGGAATGGGTTTTATGTTACGATTATCTGTGGTGTCTCTAACACTGCCACTGTCCTTATCACTCTTATCATTATCATTTGCTGCTTCGGTTTATAACTTTCATTATTTTCATTCGTCAGTGTTCTTTTCTGTTAAACAGAGCCTTTTCCCCATGCCCTCAGAATGAAAGTAAATACATCTGTTTGGCTTCATTTCGACTACGTTTTCTTAAGCCGAGTTCGTCTCATCTCTGTCGTGCAGGGTGAGTTGAAACCTGCCACATCCAGAGCTAACAGGAGTTTCGGCGTAAAAATATTTCGTTGCGTGGAAAGCCTTTTCCACAAGAGAGACAGCGGCCGAACTGATGCTTTCACCTCCCGGATCTACGACCCAGCATCTGTACTGCGAATTGTCTTTTAGACGTTGCACTTGCAATGGGCGGTTGAGATCTCTTATTATGTCCCTCTTTCTTGCGGCTGTTCATACTCCCTCATCTTAAGGGGCTTTTTCTCTAACTATAAATAACAATGCCATTTTCAGGACATTTTGACAAAAAAGAAAAAAAAAAAAATCATACAACGTTTGGTTATACCGATAACGATGCAGCACTATTTCCAACCCAATATAACTGGCTATCAGCTAATTGCCCAGGAATGCGTCTGGCTGAAGGTAATACGAATGCACAGGACTGATCCTGAGGATAATTACCAAGACATGACCCTAATAGGATGAAAGTGGTCAGGTCTTGAGGACCATTTCTCGAAGGCTCGCCGGAATGTCTCTCGAGCGTCACGTCAGTCATCTCTGAAAATTCGCCTACGGACATTGGCAGAAAGAAATACACGTGTGGAAGCAGCAAGTGTGTTGAGGAAGAATACAGGTGTAGGAACAAGTGGCGGGGCACAAGTGTATGCTGCAGAATGCTCTAGGAGCCCCATGAATATAGATATTGTATATATATAAATAGAGATAGATAGATATGGACACACACATACACGCACGCACACACTCACACACACACACACACATATATATGTATATATATAGATATATGTATATAGATATTTAGATAGATATAGACACACACACGCACAATCATACATATGTGTGTGTATGTAATATATATATATATATATATAATATATATATATATATATATATATATATATATATTACATATATATAATTATATATATATATACATATATAATATATATTATATATATATATATAATATATATATATATATATATATATAGTATATATATATATATATATATATATAATAATATAATATATATATATATATATATATATACATATATATATATACACATATATATATATGTATATATAATATAGTACATCACACACACACACACACACACACACAACACACACACACACACACACACATACACACACACACACACACACACACACACACACACACACACACACACACACACACACCACACACACACATATTAATATAATATATATATATATATATATATATATATATATATATATGTTTATATATATATATATATATATATATATATATATATATATATTAATATATATATATATATATATATATATATATATATATATATATGGCTTCAGTGATAATAACAGTAATAGTGTGTATGTGCATGTACATGTATACATATATATAGATACATGCATACATTCATACATATATACATATATATATATATATATATATATATTATATATATATATATATGTTTATATATACATAAACATAAATATATGTTGGTGTTTGTGTGTGTGTGTGTTTGTGTGTGTGTGTGTGTGTGTGTGTATACATATGTATGCACACACATCTAAGCATGAGAGAGGGAGAGAGAGAAAGTCAGAGACCTCGCGTATAAACTCGCATGGATGAATGTATATTTTTACAGACACACACGCACGCGCGCACACTTGTACAGTTTGCCGGCCGCACGTTTCACCTTTTGACTAATATTCATGTTGCCTCCGCGATGGTAGAAGCAACACTGATGGCTGTGTTGATGATAATGACAGTCATTATATTGATGATTTCGATAAGGACAAAAATAAAAACGATAATGATGATCATAATAGTAATGATAACAATTATGATGATTATTACCATTATAATAATGGTGTTGACGATAATGATGATGATGATAAAAAGAATGATACCAATAGCAATAATAACAGTAGAAATAACAATGATGATGATAAAAACAATATCACGATAATGATGATAACCACAGCGATAATCACACGTAATCATGATCATAATCTGAACAAATATCACCATGATAATCATAATCATTACTATTATTATAATCGTTGGTATTATTACCATTATTATGATGATGACAATGGCATTGATAATCACCACCACAATTATGGTGAACATATTAATGAAATACGGTCCTCCTCCTCCGCCCGCGCCCGCAAGCAGAACACGCCAGGCATTCCATATCCTCATTCCTCCCCCGACGGGCACCTTATACATTCCAGCCGAGACATCAGTTCCGCTCGGGGGCCATGCACCGCCTGGCAGCTGTTTCCACCTTGCTAGTGTCGAGGCCCTTGCAGCTGCCAGGTGTTCCTGAGGGAGACGGCGGCCCGCCCTGGCGCCAGGCTCGGCTCGCGAGCGCCGAGCTGCTGACCCAGCCTGCCCTGGTTTCACATGGCTGCGTGACCTCCAGCGGCGGTGGCGGTCGCAGGATAAGACACGCGGGATGTAAACTCGTGTCATAAGGGAAAACAACAATGATTTTAGAAAAAATAAAGGAGAAATGTAAGAAAACAAATGTTATGTATAAGAGCTCTTCATGAGATCAGGTAACACAAGATGGATCTCTGGGGTCCACTGCTATAGGAACTGTGATGAAAACGTCCTCACAAATCAACTAAAGTTCACACTATAGTTTCACTAGGAACTTCGTGTACAGTTTTCGACGCGTTGCGTTCAGTAGCGTGAAGTGAAGGCTGTTGAGCCCGTCCTCCTTATAGTCTCTCTCTGAATATCGGAGCATTTTCATCCTGTGGAAGGAGTAATAGGTTATTAAGAGTAAAGAATATAGATAATAATATTACTTTCGTAGCACTTTGTTGAATGTCTCACCCCAGAGTTCAAACACAAGCATGAAGTGTTCCACGAGAAGAAAAAGTGGGATTGAGAGCACAGTCGGGAGGAACCAGAACTCCACGACTCGCGACCAGGCAGCCAGGGGCAAGAGTATCGCTTTTATGATGCAGCTATTAATATTATTTGAATCTTTGTTAATCCTGACAATTATGACAGTCACAACGAACAATATCCATTTAATCCGCAGCTGTAGCTTGTAATAAATATCGTATGTTTCACTACTATCAGTGTCAGGGTATAAAGAGACATTCTTTAAGAGATTTTATGGATATTGGTTTGAGGCAAATATTCAACAGAAATCACTTCGGTTGCGTCTTTTAGAGAGTTCTGCTACATTGTTCCGTGGAATGAATGAGTTTTTTTTCTGCACATGATTTCAATGTCAAGATGACAATCAAACAAGAAACAAAGTAATGAATCTAAGCCAACGAAACATTAAGAAATCACTAAAAAATCCTGTAGACCAACCAAACCACATTTTCCATTGTTTGGGGTCATCCTCAAGTAACTTTTCTCGAAGCGATTGATTTTATACTCCAGAGAACTTTGTCGAGCAACCCGACGGCATCAGCCGACGCCAGCAATTGGGACGCTTCGAGCATTTAACGTGAATACAAAACATCATCAGGTATTCCGCATGATGTCCCGAGGAAATGAAAACAAATAATCGTCAACACGCACCTCTTTTAGCCCCAAACAAATCCAAATGGGATTTAAAAAAAAAGCACATACCTTTGTGAATTCATAGTGGCTTGTTGGTGCTTCAGCGTGGCATAGGTGGCCAGGTGATCAGACACTCGCCACACCTTCATTTTCTCGGCTTCGATGCGCCTCCACATGTTGTCATCTTCGCCGCCCCAACCGAAGTACTTGTTGCTCCAGCCGTTCACTTTCTCCATCTGCCAGCCGGTCATCAGGCACGCGCACCCGTAGAACGTGTTGTAAGGGATTCTGGGTAATTGTGAAAAGGCGAATCTTCAGCTAGGTGCTCTCCCTCTCTCGCCCTTTTTAAAAACCTATCTGGCTGTCTACTCATGTATTCAGAAGGATTACGCATTTTGTGAATTTGCGGATGGAGGAACCCTGTGAAGAACTGACGATTCACAGGTTGCCCCAAATGCACTGAATGAGGAGCTGTGTGCCCATCGCCACACCTCCATCAGTTAACTCGCCATCGCAGGGTGAACTCATGGCCGTGATTTAAGAGACAGGGGATAATACCAACGACAAGTCATGATAATATGGGTGTTCATACGTGTCTATTTCTGCAATAACATTGTTTTGTTTTTATCATAGAAGTATAATCTATCTATGATTATCTTTCTAGATTAATGTTACTCGTTTTCTTAGTATTATACTGCCACCAGTTTTCCGTTACTCAAAGAGGGCCGCTCCGTCATGCAAACGACGAGAGCCCCTGACTCTATTTTCCGGCGCCATTGTTGATTCTTCTCGAAAAATAAAACGTCTTCTATGATTATTACTTAGTCTGTAGAACCCATGGAAGTTGCCCCTATAGATAGATAGATAGATAGACAGATAATTCCAATTAGTGTAAGATCCCATTTCGCTCCTTTTTTAAATTGACAATGATTTTTTTCTTTTATATGGAGATCCCATGCCTTTTTCTTTTGTTTATTGTCATGACACTTCTCACTATAAAACGTTTAAAGTCCGCTGTTTACCACACAACTGAATTACACAAGCCTTGCCTATTATCAGTCTCCTTACTCACTTGTAAGTGAACTTTTCCATTCCAACTCCCAAGTGCCGCGGCTGATCTGCGCAGTTGTATAGGTTCCGGTCGTCTTCAGGTACGCAGTCGATGTCATGGAAAGCATAGCAGTCGAAGGGGCCGGAGTCTTGCGCCAGAGAGTATCCAATGTTTAGTAGTTTCGCTCGGTTGAACTCCATTTCGCCTGTTTTGAAAAGGAGTATGATTCTCTTGGGTCAAAGTAGCTTTAATTATCAGACGTTTGAATACTTGTATGGTAAGTATGAGAGTAATGAGTATGACCGGACGATTAAGGTGGAGAAAAGAAAGGCTGGAGTAACCATTTGATCTTGGTTCTGTGGTTGTGTTCAGATGTCAGAATCTGCTCCTACTTGTAATAGCAATAAGCATGGGATATGTCCGATTATACAAATAAAACAAATACAGGTA